CTCTGGGCTGATCTAAGTCAGGGCACGGCTAACTCACAGATCAAACCCTGAAACAACCTCTGGGCTGATCTAAGTCAGGGCATGGCTAACTCACATATTGATCCCTGAACTTCTGACTGATCTAATCAAGTCAGGGTATGGCTTAAGTCACAGGTCTAATTGGAATTTAACATTATTAATTTTGCAGAGGGAGAAGTTTATTTGTTAGATAACCTGGAGAAAATCCCTTAAAGCAAAGGAGAAACCAAACAAACTCTACTCTACACAAATATAATGCTGGTTGAACTGAGAACCTTAAGATGATAGGCAAATGAACTACCACTGGTATGCTCCACTATTAATTTACTTCTCCGACACCTCCAATTAAATCATATATCCATTATCATAATCACCAAACCTGTTCCAACGCTTTCTCTTGTCCAACTGTTCCATTCAAGTTGCCGTCAACACATTTATTGTTACCTTGGCAACCAGTTCCTAGCAGTCCATGATCAGTTACATTATCACACCAGCTTAATTTTAAAACTCGTAAGTCCATTAAAGAGGAAGCAATGGCTTGTATCCCAACATTGGTAACATGTAAAGAAGAGCTTATATCAAGTTCTTGTAGGTTGCCAAATACTTTACTGCAGGCAATAATCACACTATCTGTGGTTAAGCTACAACCATTTAATGTCAGGCTTGTCAATGGAGGACTAGTGTTACTTGTGTTGTCCTAGAGGGAAAATATTTTTTTTTTTAGTTTAGGACATAATGTTTTCATATTACAAAGGCAGAACTAGGAAGGGAGGTGATGGATTAGGTGGCTAGTCACCCCCTCCCCCCCTCCCCTTGGAGTTGAAATTTTTTTAATACATTGACAATACAATGTTTTATTTAGCACCTTTCAATAACAAACAGATTACACATTAAAAATAAATTTCCTTATTTAAGGTGCAAGCTAACTGATATAGGCTATATAGAGTACAAACGCTAAAAGTGTGCCACATAAATATCACTAAATAGTGTTATTTTATGCCAGAGTGCAAACAATATAACCGTGAAACTTTAGCAATACTAAATAGCACAATTTCATGCAAATTCCATTGTTTTCTATTGTTTAATTAGCACTATTTTGTATTATTTATCAATTAGTGTTTCAGGGATTAATTGTTTGCACTCTAATTATATTGTTTCTTTTGTTTAATTAGTGCTATTTACTACTAAATAGTGATAACTATTGCACACATTTAGTGTTTGTACTCTACTAAGCCAGTTAGCTAGATAGTAAAATTAGATAAAGGATAAGATAAGACCTAAAAATGATGGTATAAGATGCCTTTCTAGGCAGTGGCGGATCTAGGGGTAGTGCGAAGGGGTCCGCTGTACCTGTTTCTTTTGTTTTTGTTTTGTTTTTGGTTTTTTTCTCTCTGTTTTTTTGTTGTTGTAAGGTTTGAATTTTTGGATATAAAGAAAAATATCTTATGTAGATTTTAATTAAAAAGATTACAGAAGTTTTGGGTTGTGTCCTGTTGTTATAGCTTGTTTTTGGCGTCGTACTGGTAATTTGTGAAGCTCAAGTATTCCAAACAGATTGAGCCATCACCATTCCCCGACCAACTGCATGCGCAGTCTAGGTCTTGTCAGCACTCATTTAGTAAAATCAAAGAAGTGGAAAATCTGGACCCCGTTTTGAAAAATCCTGGATCCGTCACTGCTAGGTAACAGCCAACTATGATGAAAACTTTCTGCATTACGTATATCAAACAACTTACTCTATTTGTCTAAAACATTGTATGATTACCTTTGAGCTCAAGAAAAACTTCTCCAGTCTTTTGTTTGTCAGTTGATAACATGAGTACAAATTAAGTGAGACTAATCCCTTCGTTAGCTGCTCCAAGTGAGGTAACGCTGCAACAGTAATCTGCCGACAACTGTTCAAGTCCAAAAACTTCAACTCACTCAAATATTTCCCAACTGCGATGACACTAGTGTCCGTTATGTCTAAACATGTTAGTTTCAGGTATTGCAGCTCTTTCTGGTGTTTTGCTAATGATACAATGCCGTTATCTGTTAATTGTTTGCAAGCGGATAAATTAATCGAGGTTAAATGCAAAGATGGTAGCTCGGCAAATTTAAGCAAAGTTTCATCAGATATATCTGAACGACTGATGTCGAGGTTTTTCAAGCAAGTCAAAGATTTTCCTAATATCATCCATGTCTTTAAGGACACCTCTTTACAGCCTGATATACCAAGCTTCTCCAACCCAGGAAAAGTCGTAGGTATTTGTCCAATCGTCCAGTCACATAGGCCCTTTGTACAACTGAGATCCAGAACGGTTATATATTTAAGAGAGTTTGCGACAAGCCACTTGGATTGCTTAGAGACATCAAGTTGTCGGCACCTACTTAAGTTAACTTGCTTTAAATTTTTACAACTCTTCAGTATGATCCCTAACAAAGATTCGCTAACACAACGACAGCCCTCTAGCGACAAACCCTTAAGATTACTTGACAACCTTTTACATACTTGGACAACTTGCAAAGATGTTGTCGTGTGCCGAAAAGATACATGCTGAATACATCGCCGCTTCAGACTATCCAATAAATCTTCGGAGAAATTTTCATTTTTTGTGAATAATATAACAGCTGTATGTTTCCATAGCAACGGGTCTTCAGAAGCTTTTGCCCATGACTGGCAGACTAACGATGCTGACTGGATATCAACTGGAGAGAGAAATCTGAAGATGTAGGATACAACCTCTTCTGGTAAACAACAAGAAATATTGGTAAATCTTGAGTTTTGTAGTTTCTTGCTAGTCATTGAGTCAGTTTTCTTTCTTTTTCTTCTTTTCTGGATTCACATTGCTTGGAAGCTTGTAGTTCTAGCTACTGTGCATAAATTGAAGTCTATTATTGCATTACATCACAATCGTACATCGAAGCAGACCTTTCATAAGCAGTTTTTCTGACAATTTAGTTGTACTTCATGCCAGCTGAAGAAAGCTCTGAAATTTGAAAATAATTTTTGTCTAGCAAAATCTTAGGTGCGGCTCTTAAAGCAAATTAAATAATTTTTAAATAAATAAGTTCCTCATTGAAGAGTAATCTTTTGTTTACTGACCCATTCTGACCCATTAGTGTAGGAGCTGAGAGTGCACTACTTGTCCGCCATTTTACTTTTTTCGACGTAAAAAACATACTTACCCGTGGGGGGAGGTGTTATACCATTAATTGTAAACATTAAAAAATAAATTATTTTGACTAACATATTTTTTTAATCGTTCCTTTTAATTAATCAATCTTATCTTAACTACCATTGTAATGGCTTTTATTACGAATTTTGCCTTTTAGGTGTAAAGAAGAATACTATAAAGGAGTTATGAATTTAGGGGTGGAATTTTGGTCTTAGTGCTCCCCTCATGAGTAGGAAATTTGACCATTTTGAGCCAGCGTATTTTGTCAGCGGTAAAGGGCCTGTTTAAAAAACAATAATTCAATATGGCGTCTTCACATTGGGGAAACTCAAGAGGTAAAAAAATTAAAAATATACCCAAAATTACTTTGATTTTRTGTTCATTTAGTACTATGATATCATTACGATGGCCTATATTTGATTTTAACGAAGATTTTGTAATTGAATAATTTGTTTTATAAGCTCAATATTATCTTCTGACGTGGAAGAAAATTATTTTTTACACGTCACTGGATATTTCGCTATCAGCACATACCATTTTAGATTACTGCTATGTTTTAAGTTGGTTAGACTTTTATCAAAAATGTACAGTCTTTTTCTATTCACTTTGATAAATCTCATTTCACATCGTGGAATATTAAGAACGTCAAAAAGATATATAGGCTTGATATATACACCTACTTGCAAGAAAGTTGTCATACAAGAATAGAACATTTGTAATTTAGTGAGAAAGGAATACATTAAAAGATAAAAGAAAAAGTTCAGCTTCAGTGTTCTTCTTTTGTTTTTTAATATAATTCCTATCCCACTAAATCACTAATGTTCTATTTTCGTATTACAACGTTGCGTTCTTGCAAGTAGGTGTAAATGAGTCTAAATTGGTTGTTTTCTGTTTTTATTTATTTAACATATTAGACGTTTCAATCCCGAAATGTCCAATGTTATAGAACATTTAATTCATAGACAACCTTATTTTTAATTATTTAGTAATTATTATAAGTTATAATGATATGATTATAATGTAATTCATAATTTGTATAGGAAATTTCATGATCTTGAGTACCATTCGGAATTGATAGCTACAAGTTTTCAGAATTTGTTAACTTTCAAAACATCATGAGTATCTATCAATTCCAAATTGTATGAGAAGACTGTGCAAATTTTTGTTTATGATACGCTCAACGATAAACTTGTAATATTGTGTAGTTCCAGAAATTATCCATACCCCCTCCCCCACAGAGGAATTTCAAATTTACGAGGGGTAGGGGGGTCAGAGTAGGAACAAAACTACAGAGTTTGTATGAAAGAAAATTGGAA